TTTGGTGGCAGGAAAAGGAGCCACAGGAGGAGGCAGAGACGGACACCCAGACATGCCCGTCCCGTCAGGCTGCTGGCTCCTTCTCCTTTGCTTCGCTGCTGCTGGCAAACAGGTAAGGCTGTGCTGCCAGGGCTGAGCCGGAGGAGGGGGAAGGCAGGTGTCGCATCTCACCCGGGGAGGTTTATTTCTTCGCCTGTCGCTCGGAGGAGGTGGCGAAGTCGAAGCCTGTGGCATCTTGCACCGCCGGCACTGGCAGAGCGGGGTTTAGCAGAACAACTTTGCCTGCCTTTTTTTCCCCTCTGGTTGTTTGAGTTTTGGTTTTGTTTTTTCCCTGCAACTCGCCCTGTCTCACAAGCTTCTCTCGCTCCTTTAAAATCAAAATAGCCCAAACCCAAAGCTCTAAAGGGAGCCAGAGGATCTGCAGGGCAAACAGCCTGCTCCTGCCCAGGGCAGGGTGTGAGAAACCAGAAAATATTTGCAGTGAGGTTGTTGAGGGATATAATTTGCATGTAGAGTAAAAATAAGGCAGGCTCCACCCTACTGAACAGATTTATTCAAGAGAGCATGAGCACACTTGTCCCTCAGACGTGGGACGAGCACGTATGGTCTTCGCAGCCCAGCTGCAGCTTTTCAGCCTCCCCCGGCGGGGTGCAGTCCCCCTCGCGCTCTGACCAGCCCGCCATCCCGAATGCAGGCAACCCCTGAGCGGCCCGGGAGGTGGGACGGCGTTGTGACCCCAGGTCCACAGTTGGAAGACTGAGGCCCAGACCTCGCTTGGAGGTTCACGTGCCGCTCGTGGCAGAGCCGGGAACCAAATCCCAATCCCAGGCCAGCTGCCCCAAAAGGGCAACCCTTTCCTCTCAAGGGGAAAGATCTGAGCAAGGTTTGGCTCTGCGGTTGTTTGCAAACAGAGCGTGCTCTTTTTGCAGCTTAGTGCAATGCCAGGTGGCTAATGGTCAGTGTGTTTTACAGTTGGGATCGTTGCTGGTCTTCCCCTGTTTTCAAAAAGACCATTTTCTACAGCCAGCTCTTGCTGAGCCTTGTGAATGGCGTACGTTGGGTTTCCTCCAGTGGTTTAAATTTGCACAATCTTGCTTTGCTTTTTCTAATTATACAGCTTAAAAATGAGTCCTCTCCCTTCAGGTTATTTAGACCCTTCTAGACTGGCAGGCTGTTTGCAAATCGCGTGCTACAGGCACTTTATTTCCTCCATTAATCAATGTTTGGCAGCCTCGCTACCGTTTATGTTTCTTTCATTTGAATTTCTAGTGTTTCTGTGTGCCCAATTATTCTTGATCAGTTGTGTCATTTGAAGTGCTTCCCTCAACGTAGTGCTATAACTGTGCCATGGCTGGGTTCCGTGAGAGCAAGGTGCAGCTTCAAGAAAAAAAAGATAAAAAACCAAACCAAAACAAAAAACCCTCTGCTGTCTACAGCTTACAATTTAATGTCTGACCGCATAGTCCTGAGAGCCGTTCCTCTGGATCCCGGGTCCTAAATATGTTGCCTAAAACCACACAGGCCTTTTTTCTCCTCCAAAACATGTGTTTCATTCTGTCCACCCTCCCTTCTCAGGCTTCTCTTAAATTGCTGCTTTCCAGGTGTCCTCCATATGTATATGAATGAGCCTGCACATTTCAAAAGTGAATTTTACATCATAGCTTTCAGGTGGTTTGCCCCCTTCCTCAGTATTCTCTGGTTCTGTCTCTTTTTTTTTTTTTTTTTTTTTTTTTTCCCCCCTGCCCTGGTGTTCAGGACTGTCATCAATGCAGCTTGATGAGCGGACCTCAATGTTCTTTGTACCTTTGCTCCAGGTCACTAACCATGACATATTTGCTTCTTTGTGGAGCCATTTGTGTTTGGGGCAGTTGTTCCCTTTGGAATCTCCTCATTACCTGGAACCTGCTCAACTCTTGACCAAACCTTGGAAATTTAGATTTCTGTGCTATAGCTCCCAGCATGTTTCAGGTACCCTGATGTAGGAGCCAGGACGAGCTCCTCATTATTTCTCACCTCTCAATTCATAGTCTTTCAGAGGATGCAAAACAGGGAACTTGTATTTATTTGGGGCTGATGTGTAAAGTCTTTCCACTGCATTCAACACGTGCTTAATTCTGAGTCTGTAAGTGGTTGCACAGGGTGCAACTTTCCATAGCCAATGCCTTGGACAAGTAGCAATACAAAATAGTAGGGGGTTCCAGGAAAGTTGTAGTGTAAGCTTACATAGGAAAAACTATACTTTGTCAAAGAGCCAGTTAATCTAATATCCCATCTGCAACCGTGAGCAGGATCTGCAAGTCAAGAATGTGAAAGCAAGGCAAGCCTGGAGAGATGCTGCTCCCAGCCAGCCTTTCAGGTTCTCCTTTGCTTGACTGATTTGAACAGTGGTTTCTGGTAAGAGTGCTGTTTTCTGATGGAACAAATTGTGAGAATAAGTGTGGTAGGGCTGAAGTTTGTCTGACACACTTGTGTTAGTTTAGAGTTGATAATACGGTGGGGTAGTGGTAGGGCAGTGATATTTGCAATGTATTTCCTGCGAAGAATGAGAAACATTTGGAAATGTAAGTTAATGAGTACTCTTAATTCTGCTGAGAATAGACATGATCATCATCATTTTCACCAAAGAGGAAACAGGAACAGAGAATTCGTGACTTGCTCTAGGTCACACACCGAGCGTGGAGCAGAACTGCTGGGAGCAGAGCTCAGCCCTCCTTGTCTTGTGCTTCAGCCACAAGATGATCTTTCCAAGTGATTCGTCTTGGGCGCCTGTCAGAGGACACGGTATTTTGCTTTCTGAGGCATCATCAGCTCAGCTTCTTTGTACAGAATAGTCACATCCCTTTCCTGGCTTAACGCCGGTGAAGAGCATAAATGTTTCTATCAAATGGGAGTTAAAGCCTGTGAGAATGCGCATCTGCAAATATGCAATAAACCAGTTGCCTGGTTTAACGCCAAGGACTCTTCTTCCCTTGTGTGGCAATGGGATGGATTCTTCCACTACTCCATAATATTTACTTTATAGGGAAAGTTTGCTCACTGCAAGCATCTGGAATTCTTTGTAATATAGAAAAAATTTGGCCAAAATATAGATTATCTTTTACCTTCCTGAAATACACAGTCTTTATGATGAGGTGGGGAAAAAGAGCATAAAAATGTCCATGCTGTTTTATATCATGGGCTCTCCTGGTCCAGTATTCCTGCTCTGATCAGGGCCAAAGGAATCACTCTAATCTGAACTCCTGGATTTATTCTGTTGCTAACAGCATGGGTTTCAAAGTTACTGTAATTCAATTAGTTCACTTGTCAAAATGCCCTTGCAGGAACAGTTCCTGCAAGGGAAACTGGGAAGTTTTTCATTGCTTTGCAGTTTCCCCCAGAACATGTGAAAAATCTTACAGCACCTCATATAAAAGGAATATAATGCATATAAAACTGAACCAATCCACAATTTAAGAAACCTCTGCCGCTTCTCTTTTCATGTTAAGCATCATCTTCCTGGTGTAATTTCTTCTTTCCCACAAATGGGACCAAAACAAACCTTCACCACATCTCAAGTCAGTAGAATTCAAAGCTTATCAGCCATCTCGAGGGTACTGACCAACGTCATTTATGGCACAGGGCTTTCTTCATACTGTGCCAGAAGAAAAAAAAAATGCAGGTCAAGCAGAGAGATTAACTGTGGCCGTAAGGATCTGTTTCTATTGCCTTACTGTCAGCCCAAGCACCCTCAAGCTCAGAAAAGTGGGATGTAATTTGACCGCTCTGCAAGAACCAGTGCAGATGGTAAAAAGGATGCGTGCGTAACTACAGCGTCGAAAATCACGAAAACCTCAAAGTGGTGCCCTCTGGCATTTATGCCTTAATGCTATTTAGAGGAATCATATTTGAGTCACTTCGCTATGTTGATCCATCTGCCCCTTGGAGTTCAAGTGGTGGAAGACCCTGCTGTACTAGGTACGCGCATAGACACAACAAAAAGGTAATCCCTGTTGCAAGGCTGTCCTCCTCCTGCTCCTCCCCGCCAACTTCCTCTCTGTATGACCGGGCCTGCAGGAGGTATTTGCAGTGACCAGAACCAGCAGGGTTCCTGCCACCATGTGCTGCGACCGCAGAGTCCAGACCTCCTTCCATCCCACGCCCCGCGCTGCAAGGGGCTGCTCTGCGCCGCGAAGGCTGCTGGACACTTGGAGGGGCTGGTTGCTTCAGATGCTGGTTTAGCTTACTGGAGGCAGGCAGCGGGGAGAAGAGGGAAATGGAGATGGCTGGTTCATCACATCCTCAGCTGCAGCCGTGCTTCTTGCACAGGCTGCCCCCTTCCTTTCAATGGAAACTCAACTTGCCAGGCAGCGCTGGCTTCTGCTGCAGCTGCTCACCCTCTGGCTTCAGCGTGCATTGGTTGGCGTTGCCTGTGCAGAGAAGCAGCTCCTCTGAGAATGGTTCATTATTACCATCGGAAAACAAAAAGGCAAATATTTGTGTGTTATAAATGCAATATAAAAATTAAGTGCTGTTTAGCCAGGTTGCACTATGGACTTGGGTAGGCCTCAGTCTGTACAACACAATAGCCTGCCTGCAAGAACTTGCCCCTTTTTATGACTTACTCTTCTTTGAAAATGGTCCAGAGTTCATGTAGTAGAAGAAAGGCTGTTGTTGGATTTCCACGAGCAGCAATGGCTGAAAGTCGCAGGGTGGGCTGCAGGAGAGTCCTGCTCTGCAGCCTGCTCGGCAGGCTGCGCTGGCACCCAGGGCAGCCTGCTGTTGTGTCTGCTCCGCGGCAGGGTTTGGTGTGACGCTTCAGCTCTGGGGAAATGCAAGTTTCCTGATTTTTTCTTTGTTTGTGTGTCACCGCAGCGTGCAATTGTATTTGTGACATGGTGCCTTGCCAAGGGCTCAGCACTGCACCAGAGGAGCAATGCTGACTTACGCCCGGCGCTCCGAGACATTTTGTCCTATACCTATGCAGCCACCTCGGCTGCTCTTCGCAGTGCTTCCCTTGGTTACCTCTTTTGTTTGCCTTTTCAGGGTGTGAGTTCTCTGCGCCGAGGGTTTGGCCTTCTTCGGTGTTTGTACAGCGCTTAGGATGTCGTGGCTGCAAACAAAACCAAAGAGTCATTAATCACCACAGGATAGAGCCCCATCCATTTCCCACCGAAGTCACGGGGAGGTCTGCCCGTGTGGGCCTGTGAAGGGAGTGAATATGTCCCCCCACCAGCTGCCATCATGCAGGCTGCAGCATCCAACCCTCACCCTTATTCTCCAGGTCCTCTTCTGCATATGACCCCACCAGCGTCCCTGCGGTGGAGGCACGTTCCCCATGCCGCTTAGCCAAATGTGTCCGTGGTGCCTCCTCGCCGCTTCCCTGTGATGTCCCCGACGGAGAGGCTGGGGCAGGAGCTGCGGTGGAGAATGGCAGCGCAGCGGGCAGGCAGAGAGCTGAGACCAGGAGTCTCCTCTCAGCTCTGCAGAACCCGCTGGCTGCTCCCCTCTTAAAGTCTAGATAAAAGAGACCAGGAAAGGCTGTGTTCGGTAAAAGAGCCAAGCTGTCCGGTTTAATCCACCCTGCAAGAGCCAATTAGCCAAGGAGGAGGGAAAAAAAAAAAAAAAATGAGGTCATTCACCCTCACCACTTTGTGGCTACTCCAAAAGAAAAAAAAAGTATATAGGATCTGTTCAAGAATGACAAAGAACAACATTTGTGACTGCAGATGGGTGCAGAGTATATTTAGTCAGTGGTCAAAGTGGAGGGAAAAGAAAAAAAATCTTGTGTGGAAAAAAAAATACTGTGAAGTTTTGTTAGGCAACCCATTAATCAGGAATACAGATAGGGAAAAATGTGCTACTAGGTTCATATGAAGTCCTAAAAATTGCTTACGTAGCATGCAAGGGAATCTATTTTGAGCATGTTGTTTTGCCACAGCGAATAGTTTTGCCTTATGAGCATCATGTTCTTCAGTAACTTTTCATTTTTCAGTAGCAAGAACGATGAGATGATTCCTTGAATCTGCTCTCACAGGAAAAAAAATTCTTCCCTGCAATACCACATGTATTAAAACAGGCTGCTTACGGAAACAAGCCAAAGCCCGTTCAAATCAGGGAGGAATATTTCCACTGACTTGACTGGCCCACAGACCCCGGCAGAGCTGGTTCCTTGTGGTGACACCTAAAGAGTAAATGAACGAATTCTCAGCCCAGTCCTGAGCCCTTTAATAAAGGCAGCAGTTCCTTCATGATGGAGAAGGTGCAGATCTGATCGTGCAATTCTTACTATAACTCACACCGAGGCAGAACGGTCTGTGGGTGTTACATGCATCCCCTCTATTTGGCCATCATCCAAAGTAAGGACTACAGCCCTACCACTACTCTTCGTATTTCTGCCTGCAGAATATTCAGCATCTGTTCCATGCGGGATGCTAAAATCCAGGAGAAGGAAACCAAAGCAGAGTGTCAGGCAGTGAAAGCAGGCTTCCTCTCTTCTCTACAAGCCTTTCTCGTTCTCCCTGGCAGCTCAGCTATAGGATTGCAGGGTCTTGCCTCACCCCGTAAGAAATTAATACGTTATGCTCCACTCTGCGGGCATGATGGAAGGAAAGGGTACATAAACATACAGGTTCTTCCCCTTTGAACTCCTAATCTGGATTTCAGAAATAGCCCTGCCCAAGAAACTTCTCCTGGTCATTTCTTCATTAAGACTCAACTTCAGTTGATGAAGCATGGAAAAATAATTTGCTGAACTAAAATGGAAGAGGAGCATGCTCCTCATAAATGATTGTATCTTTAGTGCTTTTTTTATTATTATTATTATTTTAATTAAGCATGAATGGGCGTAGAGTTATTCATAGCGAGTCATTGAGATTGTTCCTGGAGCAGTGAGACTGCTGAGTTTTCCTATGGAGTGGTACTGTTGCACCTGTTTAATCTAGAAGAGATTTGCCTTTGCAAGCCTTTTCACAAGCACATCTAGGTATTAGCTTTGGTAACGTCATTATTCTTCAGTTTTTATTTCTGCTTGTTATGAACTGTTGTCTTGCTGTCAAGCCTTTTTGTTAAATGTTTTGGTTTGGTTGGTTTTTGGGTTTCTACTCTCTGGTAGTGATAGGACAACGGGTAATGGCTTTAAACTGAAAGAAGGTAGATTTAGATTAGATACAAGGAAGAAAATCTTCACTATGGGGGTGGTGAGGCACTGGAACAGGTTGCCCAGAGAAATTGTGGATGCCCCATCCCTGTAATGGTTCAAGGCCAGGTTGGATGGGCCTAGCGGAAGGTGTCCCGGCCCATGGCAGCGGGGTTGGAACTAGATGATCTTTAAGGTCCCTTCCAACCCACACCATTCTATAATTCTATGATTCATATTTAAAATATTCTACCTAGTAGCTATTAGTCTTCGAATTACTGTGGCAGTGAGGACACATAGGTTTAAGCATTATGTTTTGCACCAAAGTGCAGACCAAGCAGGCAACATGCAGACACTACCGACCGCGCCGTGGATGAAAATGTTAGGTGTACCCTTTTGGTTGCTGTATGAAGATGACTTTGCCACTGCATGACAAATGCGGTGCACGTGATGGCAAGTTTTCAGTCCACAGAAGAAAGCTGGCTGATTCACATGGTCAGTCAGTAGCCGTTTCAGCCCTGCCATCTATCACCTCTGTCATCTCCCATCTGATATACCTGAGGTTCCTGTCTGCCTTACCCCCACCGCCCCGCTGCGAGAGCGGTCAGTGCGGCACTTCTCCTTCACGTAGTCTGCCGGCTAGAAATAACTCTGGTGGGTTTGAGATTGATGAATGGTCCTTCCCGTTGGTGGAGCAGCACCAGTTGCTCAGGTGTTTGCTTTTTGCTGCGTGCTAAAACAGAGGGGCAAGGGGAATAGTCAGGGTGGGGCTTTTAGCGCTGTTTGCCCGCTTCCTGGCTGCCAGTTATGGTTTTCTCTTAATCTTTTTATTATCGGCTTTATCCCTCACGTTCTTTCTGGTCTCTTTAGGTATTCAGGCTCTAGTAGCATTTCAAGGACCTATTTTTAAGAGTGAAATAATATTTAGTTTTTAGCTGTTGCCATTTCCCGGCTATATTTTACCACGTGGTGGTAGTTCTGTGATGTGGTTTACTGGTCACTGGAAAGTTGACATCACCAAAAGCATTTCATTCACAATCTAAGATTTTCGTGACGAATTACAGACCTGCAAGCGAATAACTAGAATTGCACAGCTGTGACTTGTGTGCTGCTTTGATTGAATTTTTATCAACAGTGAAGACTGTCTGTGAAGGAACTGTTGCATTCAGCATCCATGTGATTATGATTAAGTCTTTAACATAAGACTCCTCTTTCCCCTTGTAAACTCACAGCTGTAAAAATTTCCAGAGTCGTTCATTGCGTACCTTACTATTATGTGCCTCAATAGAGAGCCTGGGAGCACCAGCCACAGAGCAGTGCCCATCGAGAGCCAGATTCTATTTTTTTTATTAAATAATTTTTTAGGCAAGCCTCTGAAACTGGCAACGAGCTGAAGAAATCTGGTTTTTGCTTAGCGATACTGCTGACCCAAATCAGGTAGGAAGCTGGAGGGCTGTGGGCACACAGTCAGTACCCATGAGAGGAGAAGGAGTGGCTCACATTTGAAGGAGAAAAAGCAGCAGATGACTGCAGAGGCCATGCTAGCTGCATACCAGGGTGCTGTGCTTGCAGGGGCTACTTCAGATCAGGAAATGTTGGTCAAAGCTCAGTCCTTTTGACAAAGTCAAATAAAGCCCAAAATCCACAGAAATATTATAGTTCTACAGAAATATTATAGTTCTACAGCAGACAAGGCTAAGGACCTCAAAAGCAAGTGGTTTGAATAAACTCAGGCTCCAAAGTATAAAGAACAAGTGGTGTGCACGGCAGGACACACCATAGTTGGCTCTCCCATAGGTACTTTGGGTCTGCAATACTAAATGAAGAAAAAAAACATTCTTTGCTCAGTGAAATGATGACAGATGACTTGAATACTCTCCAGAAACAACTATACTGAGCAAGAAGGTGTCATCTTAAGGTAGTTACCCCTTGACGTGTCCATTTACGTTTCAATTTTTGCAAAACTAAGATTATCGCTAATGAGCAATCCCCACTGAGGCCTCAGGTTCTTGTTCAGAAGTGACATGGGAAAAAGACTGCGGAAACCCCCGAGCTTGTTCTTCCAGATTTTTTCTTTTAAAGGAAAGAGGCCCATGCAACTCTATCTTCTCTGAAACGTCTGTCTGAATATTCATCTGAGCGAGAAAGTAATTTTAGCATCCATGACACACAGCTTCTGCTGCCATCTGATTGCTCAACGGCAACCAAGAATAAATATTTCCTTAAGCCTGAGGACAGGAATCTGAGTGCTGCTGGTTCCCCCTTCAGAAGCACCTGTGTGTGTGTTTTTTCAAGGTCTGAGTAACACAGTGGTGCTTTGTAGCTCTGAGTCATCGAAGCTCTCCAACCCTACAAGCACACTCTTGCTTGGCGTCCTTTTCATCGAATGGAGGGAAAAAAAAAAAGAAGCTGAAAAGGCTGCCTGCAGCTCGACACCAGAACAAAGTCCTCCTGCAAACCTTGACGTGAGCATGCCTGTTTTTTCCAAAGAAGTCAATGGTGCTACTCATGTGCTTAAAGGTAAGCAGGTGTTGGCATGCTTTACCGAACCAGATCCACCAAGCCCAGAGGAGGTTTGTCTTTTTTACCCTGTCAGATATACTTTTCTGAGGTAATGTTAATCAAGTGGGAAAGCTGACTGTTTTCTTAGGAAGTGCTGCAAATTCGTATGCTTCACGCGCTTTTTAAGTGATAAATTTAATTTACACAGGATACCTAGAGCTCTTTGAAGCACTCATTTGCACGTGGTGGTGGTGGTATTTAATGAACAGCTTCACCAATAGCGAGACCGCTAAAGGAATGACCAGGCTGGTTTTTGTCTTATTTAATCACTTCAGAGGAGGTTGACACCTTCGCATTCATCGAGGCCCCTTCTCTCTCTAGAAAAGAGCTCAGCAATATCCAGATCACCCTGACCCACAGGTCAGCGCCTGATGAGAGGAAGGATGTTCCGGGGGTTACGGGGCAAACTTGAGACTTGGGAGACTTGGTCTGGTTTCCCGTCACCTCCGTAAAGCCAGCCGGCATCCGGGTGCGAGTTCCTCATCTGCAAAATGAATTGCACTTCCCCGTCTCAGAAGGACACTGTGGTGGGAATACGCTGGTGATGGTGACACGTCAGGTCGTTGTGCTGCCAGCAGCACGAGCGCTCCTCAGCCCCCAAGGGAAGCTGACGTACAGTTTGACGACGAGACACGCACGGTCCCCTGGCAGAGGCTTAAACAAAGGGTAACCTGGCTTCAATGGGGCTGTGTTAGCAAAAGGGCCCGAGTTCACTGTATCGGCTCCCACCCTCAGAAAACCCCAGGTTGCTTTTTTGTTTCCTTTCCTGTCCTCTCTCCCCCCAGCTTTCCTGCCCTGCAGGTCCAGCGAGTCCATACCAGGTCAAAATCCCTCGCCGTCGCGAGGAGGCTGGGCTCACGTGGGGGGTTAGCACACGGACACTGGAGCCTTGTCTTTACGTCGTTGAGCATAAACCAAAGGAGGGAGTATTGCAGCTCCGTGAATGCACTGGCTTGTGTGAAAAGGGGAAGGACATGGTGGCAGAAGAGACTACTTATTGACATAGAGTGTAGATTTATGTAGCTGCAGCTGTGAGTATACCGTAACAATAGCCCTCTTTATACAGTAAAGCAGGGAGGTATGAAACGATTTCCAAAAGGTAGCCGAGCAATTAGCCTGCTCCCCTAGCCTCGGCACCGGGGGATTGCTGCTTCTCCTCAGGCTGAGTTGTGATTCTCAGAAATTATTCCAGACCCTTTAGCTGAATGCTCTTTAGCAGATTTGCATATCCTTCCTTAAAAAGGATGACTTTGCCCTTGTTTGACACTTCAGTAATTTTTTAGTCTTTTCTTCTAAAGAGGAACTATCAAACTGGGGCAAACGAGGAAGAAGAGGACATTCTGTTACAAAAAGTGAGTGACTGGACCTGTCGTTGGTCTCATCACTTCTGTTGCCTTTTTGGATGGCTGGGAATAGGGAATCAGTTGCTCCAGACCTTCTCTCTGCTGCTCGGTCCTGCAACGTCGCCTCACCCCCGTGCTGGCCAGCTTAGTGTTTTAGCACATGCCGCCTGAAGTGCATTACAGAAAATTAGCTCCTTTGATTACAGGAGTGTTTTCAGCGTTTCCCCAGGGACATGGAGCGGTGTCACTGTTCAGCTGCCAGGCTGGCCCGGCTTTCCCTTTCCTAGATTGCCTCTCGTCTTGCCAGCACTGATCGTTATCCTGTGCCCCTCCTGGGAGGTGCTGCGCAAAGGCAAAACACAATCTTTGTTCCAAAAAACGTATAATCTAATCATGAGAAAGGTACTGCTAATGAATGCAAGGAAAGAGACGAGGGAACAATGAGACAACAGAAGATTTCTTGCAAGACTGGACTCTTAATTTGACCTGGGATTGCTGTCATGATAAAAAAAATGGCTATAAGGTGTTTGTAACCTGCAAAAAGTACCTGACTTGAGGTACTTACTCTGTTCCAGACACAGCTAGTGCAGTTTTGATAAACACAAGTTTTGTACCAACCCATGGCTCAAACTCCAAGGCAAAAGGTGGTGTTTTAAAAAAAAAATTCAACATTTTTGGTTGTCTTTAAGTTACAAGTCCCTTCCCAGCATTAGAAGAGGACAAGGTGCTTAGGGAAAAATGTTTTCTATTTAAGGAGATTGCTATTGCTAGAAAAGGATGAAACTAGAAAAGGATGAAAGAGAAGTAAAGACTTGGAGGAAACAAGGGGAGAAGGGTTAGTGGAGGAATGGGAGCCAGTATCAGTAGGCACGGGGCTGTCGTATGCTATTAGATGACAAAAGCTTCCTTTAACCAGCATTAGAAGCTTTATTGCAGCTTTCTCCAAGTAAATCAGATTTTAACAACTGTATCCAATAATGAAGGATTCCTTGCTACGGGCCAGATTTTTAATCATCTTATCTATTGCAAGATCAACAACTGGTTGTAAGGTGCTGAGCTTGCCTGGAGGACCGCTGCCGGGAGACTCCCAGGCAGCCAAAGCAGGGTCAGCAAGGGGCTGGCCAGGATCCCCAGCACAAGCCATGCCTCGAAGACCGGCCGAGGGAGCCGTGTGTGCTGGGCTGCGGGTAGGACCACCGTGCGTACAGGCAGCCAAGAGCAGGGAGGGGATGCGAAGGCCCGTAAGAGCTAGAGGCAACGCTGCTACCTGCTTTGCAGATGCCCTCTCGTGTAACAGTTTCAGGAGGTTTGGGGGGGTGGTTTGTGTTGGGTTTGGTTTGTTTTTTGAGAAGCAAAAAGCTGTTGGCTTAATTGTATCGCCTCTCTGGATGGCTGCCTCAGTTCCATGAGACCATCTCTGCAGGACACAGTGGGAGCCATAAAAAGCTGCAAAACTGAAGTCCAGTATTTTCTGGGGCTAGCCAGGAGTATTGTGTATCCCAGTGGGAAGCTGGGAACTTCTTCTTTTTCAGGAGTATAAATCGTTCACCTTACTTGTTTGCTTAATGCTCTACATTAAAACTGTCAGTTGCCCAGGTCTTGGTCTGAGGTCATATCTGTGGAAGAGACTACAGCAGTATCTCTATGCCAATTTTTTTTCTTTACAATTGTTTTAAAGTCATAGATTTCAAATAATAGAGTACTGTAAGAAAAGGTTACATTGCAGGCCAAAAGTTCATGACAAATTGCAAGATTGTGTTATTTATTTATCACCTGGCTGTATTACAAGTCCCTGTGTGTACAGCATCAAGTACATATTCTTAGTGTGTCTACAAAGCGCCTTTGAAGTCATAAATGTTGGGTAACTTTTACTGCTTAGCTATACAAAATGCTAAACAGAAGAAAAGTTTTCCTCCTCTGCCAGCACTGTGAGTAGGTAGGTCTGAAGCTCTCCAGGTGTATTGGTTCTCATGTCCTCTCCCTCCTTCTCTGCTCCAGTTGTCACTACAAATCACTCCGCCGTGTGAAAGCGAACAACACTATGAATACTCTGGACGGTGCTGCACAAAATGTGAGCCAGGTATGTGAGCACTGGGCTGTAGCGGCTTCATAACTGAAAATCTCATTAGAAACAGCTCTGTGGGTCAGTAAGGCAGCTTGCTCTTGTGACTCTGCTAATCTAGTGGCACATACCCTCGCAGGTGCATGATTTCAGGCTTACGAGTGCCTTCTAGTGCAGGAGTGGTCCTGCTGACCTCAGCAAAAGCCATAGCAGCTATTTTGTTGGGATAGTACTTAACCACTGCGGGAGAGAGAAAGCAGCTTGATTCTTGTGCACGTAGATAGGACTGCTCCCGGGCCATAAGCTTGACGAATGTTTCAGTGCCACACTAAATGGGGGCCAGACTGAGGAACTGAAAAGGTGGCAGGAAGAAATGATTGTCCACAGCAGTACAGCAGTGTTAGCCCAAGCTGTTATTTTCCCTAAGCTCCTCAGACAGCTGGTGAGCAACTTGCGAACGACCTACTTGTCCTTCTCTCATTCACAGGAAAGTACATGGCTGCTAGATGCACTGGTACTTCTGATAGCGTGTGTCAGCCGTGTGGCCCAAACGAGTATATGGACGTCTGGAATGAAGAAGACAAATGCTTACTACATAAAATATGTGATCAAGGTGAGCTGTTCATACTGAAGAACCTTTTAATTAGTGAAGCACGAAGATGGAAAAGTGGATCTAGGGAAGTTGCTTTGTTCAGGTACCCGACACTGGAGGCTGGGCTTGCAGAAGAGCCTGGCGGAGAGGGAGGTCCCCAGACAGCAGAGATTCTGTCCTGTGCTGAGCACTGCGACCATGGTCTCCATGCTGCTGATAATCATTATCTTCACTGGGGGTCATTCACTCCTGTGAGTTGGATCTTAAAGGTTTTCTTTTTGCCCAGCATACTGTGCATTCACTTCCCCTAACACGTTTGCTTCTCCCTTGCAAAAGCTCTGTTTATTTTCTACAGCAGCTACAAGGAAAAGTATTACTCACGAGTGCAATCAGTGAGGAGCCCCGTGCTGATCAAGGGTCTCCCATGCTTCTTGAAAGATAACATTTCCTCCAACGTGAATGGCATCTGGCATTCAAGCAAAGCAAATAGGTAGAACAGGAGGTTCATAAACTTGAGGCTTATAATCAGATTTTTATTCCCATCTGCTTTCTCTTTTAGGGAAAGCTTTGAGAGAAGTGAACCCAGGGAACAGCACGTTCCAGCGGCAGTGTGCTTGTACGATGGGCTACCACTGGAATGAAGACTGCGACTGCTGTCAGCGAAATACCATATGTGCTCCAGGATTTGGAGTTGAGCATCCTGGTAAGATACAGAAAGGGGGCCTATGAAGTGAAATGTCCAGCTCGGGCCTACAGGATGAGGCCAGCATCATGTGGGCTGTGACGTTAGAGAGGACACTTTAGACTCTCAGATGACTGTCAACAGAAGATGCATTTCTGAGTTATCATTACTACTGCATATAACCCTCCTGGACTATCTGCATGTTGAAGGCTTCTGCCTCTGTAGGCAGTATCTTGGATCACGTGACTTTTGCAAGATATCGTGTGGACATGGCAATAGGGGCAAGGTGTTCAGTGCATTTCTGACGTTTGCCGAGGTGTCTGACTGTGAGTCACTAGGAGATGCACTGCTCCAGTATTCAGAGAAGTGGTCCCTTGGGCGTTGTTGCTGAGGTCGGATTTGAAATCACATTTTGTCCAATGACTTTGTTTTGCCATTTTATAATGTTATAAGCAAGTTAAAAATTATTAACACCTTTCAGGTAGTGCGAGTATTCTTTGTTTTAGATGACTTGCAAAGATTTATTACAGACCTTTAATTTAGTCCTATGTCTGATTGAAGAAAAATGCAGGTGTTTTGTGGGTAGAAAATAGAGACGGTCAAGTTCAGAGTTGTAATGAACACTGGGAACAGCTGCGCAAGTACGAGGAACCCCAAAAAAGCAGCACATAATAGAGTAATGGAGGATGAAATGCTGCATGGGCCAGGAGCACAGCGGTGCTGGGTTTTTTTCCCAGTCTAGCAAATCCTGATACAGCATTTTGTTTACTGTGGCTTCATAGAAGTGACAATACCAGTTAGCGTCGCTGTCTGTGGCATAGCATTGACACAAGGAAGTTAATGGAAGGGGAAGGATATAATAGCTGTGTGTTATTTTACAACAACTGCAAACGGCTCCTGGTCATTTCTCATTTTGATCGTGTAGATAAGTGCTCAGGTGAGACTAGCATGCTTTTTTCTGCTTACATGTGACTGTCATTGTTGCTCTAATGTAATCTAAGATCCTTTTCTCTTCAGGGAAGCTTTCGGGGCAGGGAGGGAGTGGAGTGGGAGTATGGGGAGCATAGTCACCTTCCCCTTACCTGAAAGGACCTTGGGGAAACTCAGCTATGAAGTTTTTCTTCCTTTACTACACACAGTGCAACAAGACAAGGACACAATGTGTACACCATGTCCCAGAGGCTACTTCTCAAAGGTTGCTTCATCCACCGACGAGTGTAAATCCTGGACCAAGTAAGTCCCTGTATCTTGCAAAAGGTCTACGCTAGCCACAAGGCAGGGAGAAGCTTGGGCGAAAATGTTTTTCAGTGGGGTGTTTCAGGCTGTCTGCGGCATGCACAGAGCGTCTCTGTTGGCGGAGCAGCGATAAATGCATTCTCACGCTGGAGCTTGAATTCTCCTTGGGGGGGAGCAAGAGAGAGCAGTAACAACAGAACTGCTGAGCCAACATAGCTGACAGTAAAGAAGGTATCTGAGTTTCTTAAGGGTGGAGAAATGCAGAATAAATGTATGTTACAACAGAAAGTACTACTCTGCATAAGTGTAGGAACCATGACAAGCTCCCTCTTTGAGAACCTAGCCTCTTTGTCTTTCTTTTTCAGCTGTACAGCTCTAGGAATGGCAGAAATAGTGCCTGGGACTGACAAGTCAGATGCAGTTTGCGCAGAACGGAAGATTCCTGAGCCATCGGAAGACGGTATGTGTCCTCATACAGATTATCTGTTAGAAAGTACCAGGGAGGAGGAGGGATGTGTTTCCTAGGGTTTTTGGCTGGCTTAACTCTATTCCCATTGTGGGTGACTCTAGGGGGAGCAGCTGTAGACCAAGACAGCACTCTTGGAAAATCCCACCTTTAAAGATTACTTTAAGCCTGGTGGCTCTAGGGCCCATGTCCTCTACTAAGCAGAGCTTTACACCTCCCACTGAAACTGCACGGCAAGCAGCATTGCTGTTATACCCATGACCTCCATCACATTTACAGCGCTCTCATTTTTTTCAGCCTGCTGATTTCCATACACACATTATCTGTATAGAGGCTAGTAGCTTCTCTCCATGCTTCTTTTATAGCAATGGATACAGCCTCACCTGAACATAGCTCTCCCTTCTTGCCCACTGCCCATTTCCCTCTCCAGTGTGGATATGGTACCAGGGAGACTGCTTGCCTGGCACTCAGTGATCCTTCATAACCTGAGATAAAGGACAAACTTTGCCAGCTGAAGTCTATAACCTCCATGAGAGGTATGTCCCCCGTCCCCTGAGGCAGAGCAAGCTGGCAGCTTGCAAGGGGACTTTCAGAGGAGCATGACTGGATCACACCTCTCTGAGACACCAAGACACTGTTTTTTACGGAGATGGCTTGGTACCAGGCACCTTCAGTAAGGCTGCTTGTCACAGAACTGCATGAGTGCTAGAGCTGTTGTCCTTATTATAGAAACTGAAAATCAAGTAAGAAGGAAAAAAAAAAACATTTCCTGTGGAAAAGCAGGTAAAACGAGCAAGGATTGTCAAACTGCTGAGTACAAGCTGAATGTTGATGGCACCATCTTTTTTACATCCTGCAGGAACAAACAGGATCTTATACGTGTTGATTGTCGTCTTGTTTTTTGTGGCACTAGTTGGCATTGTCATCTTCATCGTGTACTACAAGAATAAGGGAAAAAAGCTGACAGGTACGTGATAGCTAATGATATTCATGAATGTGACAACTGCATGGCTTTCTGTGCACTCTGATCTCATGGGTAACCAGCAGCTTAAGAAACTCTGGAGTTATTTTGAAAGTTCTGTGCTATCCCTACATCTGTCCATATGGATATGCTTTAACTAGTGCAAAGCCAGGCTTCAAATTCCTTCCTCTAGGCAGGGAGCGTATTACACTTACACATAATGCATATCTCTCGGTATCCTCCTGCAGCTCTGACCGTGGGGTGACCGCCCTCAGGGCGGACGCAACTGCTGCGTGGATGAAGGAGGGCTGGTGCTGGGGGCTTTTGTAGCAGCACGGCTGCTCTGCACCACGTGGCACAGCTGACTCCTTGGCCGAAGGGAAGCAGGGAAAGACTTACGGGGCTTTCACCACCTCCTGTCTCCTTCTCCCCACTTTCCCTCCTACCCTGAAACCTGCATCTGGACAGCTTCAAACATGGATTTCAAGGCAAAGGTCTGATGTGTATGTGAAAACATGATGGAGGCAATGTTTTTAGCTGAAAGCCAAAGTTCTGATGAGGTGTGGAAGAAATACTAGAAGGAAATAGAATAAAGAGTAGAAGTAGAAAAATAGAAAAGTTCTAGCAAAGGCATACTGGGTAACAGTGGGGCATGAATATATTATGAATACAATGGAAATACCTTCAACAGTTACTCAACTCTGTGTTAAGCCCTGCATCTCCTTAGTTAGGAGTTAGGACATACTTGTATTGTTCTGTTCATTTTTTATTTTCTCCCCCTACACATGGAAAGCTTTTCCTAGTGTAGTTTTTCCATCATCTCCTTTCCCAAGCCCTAGCAATTTATGAAATGTTTTGGGAGCAGTGGAAGGGAAGACAGCAACCCTCTCTTGTAATGAATATTTCAGCCTGTGTTTTAGAAATAGGCTGCCTCTGCCACGCTAAACATGGGTTGTGCTAAATCTGGAATTCCTGGGATGGGCTGGAGGAAATGGTGACTCTCCTTGCAAACCAAATACTTAAAATGCAAAGCAGGTTAGGGGGGAATGCTCTTTATTTGACATTCCTATTGCCCTGCAGCTCTGCAGTGACAGTCCTTCATTGCCTTTGTGTGGTAAATCCTGCTAATAGGAGCTCCTGAGACTTGCAGGCTCAGGAAGAAGCTCTGCCTGCTTGGTAAATGTGATGGTAAATGTGCAGACTTAACATCAGAGGAACAGAGTCATTGCTGGGAACAGGCAGTGGCTACATAGCTGATCTATCTTCAGACATACAAAACCAGCACAAGCTTCAAATGTAGATGAGACCTGAGCCGAACAAAACCTCCTGCAAGTATAAACAGAAAACAAGAATTGCTAGCTCTATTAAGTGGCAGCCTTTACCATAAAGCATTGTTGGACTTAAAGCTTTTCTTTGGGAGATACTCCGATTGAGTTCCCTATTAAGTACACCCTGATGAAGTGGAATACGTTGTATTTGAGCCTGCCGTCCCGTGGTTTCAGTGGCTTACCTTCTTCTCTCCAGGCTCCTCACTCCTGTCTGAGAATGGTCTTTGGGCCATCCATGTGACTTCTCTTGAAATAGACCATACGGCTGCAAGCGGGTCGGTATCGGGCCAGTCATAGCTTGGTGTGACATATGACCAGGAAAGAAACCCCATTTGATGTGGAATACGGTTTAACCGTGGTCTATTTTAGGAGCTTGGAAACATTTGTTCCACAGGAATATAGCTCTGTTCCAGTTACAATGAATCCTCAGCTAGACCGACGCTGGGACACTTGAACAGTCAGTAAAAACAGTCTTGCTGGTTTTCGTTTAATATGATATTGCGGATTGTGAATGACTGTGGGTGTTTAGGTCTGTGGTTAACTTCAGTGCCTGCTATACGTTACAGCTACCCTTTTTGTTTTCCCTCCTACAGCAGATCTACAGAATTGGGCTAACGAAGTGTGCAGCCAAATAAAAGGAACAAAGGTAAAGTCAAAGATGCTAACATT